CACCTTTGAACACTTCCAGAAGTTCTTCCATCTGCCACTCTCTTAATTTTTCTTCCATTTTCACAAGTCTGAAGTCACATTCACACTTCACAGAAAACTGGTAGTAAAAGTACCTAAATTATAACAAAATGTGCCCGCGTCAGTTGAAAGTTGCAACGATGAACGCAATAAAGCAAATAATGCAGTTCATCTTTATACAGTCAAGTTCTTTCGTTGGTCTGACGCAGCGAATCATGCACCTACATAATATATTCGAAGATGCAGCAAATTATATTTTGTAGAACCAAAGAGCAATTATTCTTTGTGGGGAAAATTTTGATTAAGGCAAATAAGGTGCTTACTTATCTACATGCATGATATTTAATCTGGATATAAAGAAGGTATTGTTTGCACGAAGAAATATTTTGCAAAGTATAACGAACTATTTTCTTCCAGTCGCAAAGGTGCTTTGTTAGAACATAATTAGTAAGTTTACTTATTTAGGACAGAAAAAAAATTTAGTTTGCTTAACAATATTTAATCAGAAATGAAATTTAGATTCTACGGATACTTGAATTAACTTAACTAAACGATCTCGTTGCGTTGATAACCCAATATATTATTTGTTTTAGTAAATAAGGGCGTAGATAATTAATTTTAGTTACAGAAACTAACATTTTTTTCTGTGTAGCGAATCTAAATCATTTAAAACCGACCTACTTCCGCGATTACGGAACAATTTTCTTAACCACACTCTTTTTGCACGTTTTTTTTGCGTTGCTCATTGTCACAAAGCGCACTTAAAATAATATATGCACCTGCTGCTACAATAACGTTATCCATGTTTAAATGTATTCGATTTGACAGGATTTGTTAACGGTTTTTCATGGGAACAAACTGAACAGAACTTTGCGCGGCAAGTCATGAAAAATTGCACGAGGCGTTTGTGTTGTTTGTTCGGCGCGCGCGGTACGTTTGGTTCGTTCGGAATGTTTTTGTTCAAGTGAATACGCACCTTTAGGTGGGCGGCATTACGCCATTACCCCTACCTCTCCTAATTTCGGTATGGACAAAGTAGAGTACTTGGGGTTTATTCTTAGTAAAAACGGGCTTGAACCTAGTGCGGCGAAAACTAGAGCGATCGCTGAATATCCGCGGCCACGAAATGTAAATGAAGTGAGGAGTTATTTGGATTTAACCGGTTACTTTAGGAGGTTTGTGCCGAATTATGCCAAACGCGGGCGAGCCTTAAGTGAATTAGTAAAAGCGAAAGCCGAATTTAAGTGGAGTGACGATCAGGAAAACGCGTTTGTCGATTTACGGGAAGCGCTTACAACGCGGCCGACGGACGACGAGATTGTTTGATCCAAAAGCAGCGCGTACGGAATTGCATTGCGACGGGAGTGCAGCCGGGTTGGGTGCCTTATTATTAGAATCCGACGGTGAAGGGAATATGCACTTGGTCCATGCGATCTCGAAGAAAACAAATACCACAGTTCAAAAATCGAGCTGATGGCGATAGCGTGGGCGGTAGAAAGGTTGCGAATGTATTTGCTGAGCGTGCCGTTTCGTTTATTGTGTATACGGATTGCCAGTGTCTGGTTTTCTTAAACACAAACAAAACCAAAAATCCGCAAGTCGCACGGTGGGCGACTCTATTACAAGAATACGAGATGGAGCCGGGACGGAAATGAGTCATGCCGACGCCCTTTCGCGTGCGCCGTGCGACTACATTAAAGCCGGAAACATATATAGGTGACGCGAAGCGACGCAACGCTACGCGACGTTACGCCATATTTTCGTTATTTTTCCTGTGTGTGCATATTTGAACGATGCGACGCGCCGTCACGCAACGGAACGCCACTTCACTTACCATAAAATACATACAGTCATCTCCAGTTCATCAAAAGTAACAGACGACATAAGATGGATTTGGGTAGTTCCGATGAATACGAAGAAGAAATTGAGGAAGCGTGCGTGGCTATTATGTGCATAGAAGCGCATTGTAAAAGAAGAAGTGTGTGGGTACACGAAATTAATTTGAATAGAGAAAACGATGGTGAATATCATACCTTAATTAAGATTTTGGAAAAAGAAGAGAATAGTGATCGATTCCACATGTACTTTCGTATGAGCAAGAATCAGTTCAATTATCTCCACGATTTAATCAAAGACAAGATTAGAAAAATTGACTCAAAATTTCGACGCGCAATTGGAACCAAAGAAAGACTAGCTGTTTGCTTAAGGTAAGTTACGTTTAATAACAAATTTACAACATTTATTTACAAATTATGGTATTGGTTCATGTCCCCAAAATAATTTGAATAGTGCACTTGTTCTGTGTACGAGCTTTGATCCACATTTGGACTAGGAGCAGACGACGAAGTGAAAGTTGACATGGAGGAGGAAGAAGTGGAACGTTCCGGAATTCCTTGTAGACCCCTAATTTCCGCTTCTGACACCAACTGACATAATGCCATACGAATCTTCGCCTGCTCCAATTGAGGTAGACGTTTTACAGTTTTCGCCATGCTCAAGTAAAACATATCCACCTCATCATGTTTTATGTCATTCTCATGCCGCTTGATTCGCATTTCGGCATTCCTTTTCATTATTTGCACCATCTCTTGCGCAGGATTCTGATGCTTACGCATCTTCACTGGCGTTACGCGAGTTGGTGTCTTGTTCTCTCCACCCTCATGCTCCTGGGTGTGAGAGACCTCTTCAGAGTCCAGTGTATCTTCAGGATCAAGGCTCTCTTCTTCCTCTTCTTCCACATTGGTTACTTTTTCTAAGTTGCTTGATGTCTCTCTCATTTCCAAAAAAGGAATTAAAAAAGACATTTCTTGTTCATACTTCCAAGCAGCAATCTTTCTTGCTGATTGACCGCTTTTTGTTTTTCTTCTTTTCTTCGCCGCTATAAACGCGTTTCTTAACTTCACCCACAAAGCTTTCACTGCATCCGCTAAAACATAAAAGAAACATCATTAACAATTGGTATATCTGATTTTCAGATTTTTGGCTACAGGAAATTCATTTCGTTCTCTCGGATTCAGCTACAAAATGGGATTCAGTACAGTACGAAGTATTATATATGAAGTTTGCGAAGTCATTGGAAAGATGCTGGGCCCTATAGTAATGCCACCTCCTACTGAAGAAACTTGGCGTACAATTACAGAAGGCTATAAGAATATATGGAACTTCCCCAACTGTTTAGGAGCCCTTGATGGGAAGCACATCAACATACGATGTCCCATAAATAGCGGATCGGATTTTTATAATTATAAGGGAAACTACTCTATTGTCCTTCTTGCACTGGTAGATGCCAACTACAAGTTTATTGCAATTGATGTAGGTTCTTACGGTCGAAATAGTGATGGGGCTATATTTAGTAATTCTCAACTTGGGAAATCATTAGCTAGCAAGAGTATGAACGTACCTCATGATAAGCCATTAGTTGAAGGCGGAGAAGCATTACCGTTGGTGATAGTAGGAGATGAAGCATTTCCATTAAAAAACTACCTTCTTCGACCTTATAGCAGACAAAATATTGCAGGTAATGAAGCTAATAAGATATTCAATTATCGATTATCCAGGGCTCGAAGAGTGGTAGAGAATGCTTTTGGGATTTTAAGCGCTAGATGGAGAATTTTTCTACGTTACATGGAGGTACAACCAGATAAGGTGGATACTATTGTTCTAGCTTCATGTTGTCTACATAATTTACTTTGTGATAATAGGGACTTCGAGCCCGAAAATGACCACTTCAATCAGGCTGAATCTGGTTTATATAATCTCGGTCGATTAAGGCAAAATTATACTCAACAAGCTATGTACGTTAGGGACAAATTCAAAGATTATTTTATGTCAGAAGCTGGAAGTGTTCCATGGCAAGTGGAACGCGTACGACGAGGAAGACAAAATATGTGACACGTGACAAATTTCATGCATATTTGCAATTTTACTTTACTTCTCGTTAACTGTACGTGTACTTAAATAAATATTTGTATTAACTTACCTGTTACATTCATTATATTGGCGATATCCTCCCAGGCCTCCTGCCTTATTGCCTGATCTCTATAAAATTTGCTTTTTATGTCATATAGACAGGGATGCTCTCGCACATGGTCAATTAGCTCTGCTTCCATTGTTAAACTAAACTAAAAGAAAAAAAGATGCACGTGTGCGCGTGCAGATTTACACCTGCCAACGCTATGCAACGCAATGCAGCTTGACGAAAATCTAAACATTTGGAATCGCATCGCGTCGATTGGCGTAAAGTCGAGTTCCATGTCGTAAGTGTGATCACTCTTATGAAAATCCAGATGACAGAAATTCGTAACGTCGCGTTGCATCGCCTTGCGTTGCGTCGCGTCGGGTAAATATGTTTCTGGCTTGGCAGGGCGAACGTTGAGACGCAGTGTGACGTGTGGTGACGCAGGGTGAAGTGACGCGCATGGGCGAAGTGAACTGCCTGCGCGTGTACGTGCGAACAGATGAAACGCTGGTCACGTAATTCTATGTAATTTGTTAGACTCGGATCTGATTCTGAGTTTGCCGAGGAAGAAATAGCGTATGCAACTCTATTGAAGAAAAAATTGCCAACAAGTCGTTACTTAAGAAAAAGAACAATCTCCATCGCAATTTCCTCCCATAATTGCTGTTTCAATTTACTCTTCATGTAATAACGTCACTTGTGTCATACAAGACCTTTCTACACCGAACTGCTTCAATTAGCTTCTCCTCCATCTTCCTTTTTGTCGACACACACAAACGAAGAATGGAAAAGTCACTGCTATTTTGTGATTAGACCGCAGACTATCGCAGACTCACGGCGTACCAAAACTGCGACACGTCACGCTGCGTCCGAACATTCGCTGATGTATAGACGTCCTTTGGTTGCAGAAATCTGTGGTGAGTCACCCTGTGTCATTTCACGTAACTGCGTCTCAACGTTCGCCCTGCCTAAAGAAACCATAGACCGCGCACTCAGTGAAGTGGCAGAAGGTCGTCTCAGTATTAGGCTAGCCGCAAAATGACTCGCAGTTTGGTGAGGTGACGCAGCGTGAGTCACGGTGAGATTTTGAGGGGGTTTAACTGCTAACGCGCGCAAATACGATCGCAGTTTGCTTCTTGCAATAACGGTTGATTGCAGGCCCACAATGGAAATAGCTACGGCACTTACGTTTGACAGTTCTGAATCTGATTCGGAAGATGAGCTCGTATCCGAATTGGTATTGTTTATCTCCCAAATGACCAAAAGAAAGGCAGCAAGAGGTCTGTACTTAAAAAGAAGAAAAAGTCACGGAGAATTTGCTATGACCAAAGAATTTAACGACGAACAATTTAAAAATTATCTTCGGCTAAACCGGGACCAGTTTATCGAAGTGCATGAGATCATCAAAAAAGAAATTGACGCAGAAGGATGTAACGCTACAAGGCCCATCGGGACGGAAGAGAAACTAAGTGTATTTCTAAGGTAACTTTATTTTATTAAATTTTTTTATCAGATTATTTATCTGGAAAAGAAGTGATCAAATTAATCAGCTCGTCTCGACTGCTACTTGTGGAGTAATCGTTTTTCTCCGGATAGATTTCAGGGGTGCTTAAGAGTGACTGTTCCGAATGGAAACTAGTTGATGATGCTCTGCTGCTGGATGGAGTGGCTGCAGGAGGAGAATGTAAATTCTGGTAGTAGAGCTGCTGCTGATCAGGGCTGGGCTGCTGGTAGACAGCAGAACCAATACCCATTAACATGGCCTGCGCTTGTGAAACTTCGTTGAACAAACCATTTTTAACCATGTGTTGATATGAGGGTGGCATTTTTTTAGTAGATTGGTACATCGCCAAAAAAAAGTGAAATAGTGGATCATTTTGTGTAAGATTTAATTGCTGTACCAAATTTTTTCTCTCTTCCGTTCTTGCTTTAGCTCTTTCCTCACGTTTCTCAATACTTATTTCTTTAAAAAGTGTAGTAACATTATCTTTCTTCATTTTTTTAATTGAATTGGGGGTTGCAATTAACGTCCGCTTTGTAGATAACATTGTAGGAGCAGTTTGTGAAAGTGTCTGAGATTGGGATTCATCCTCCATATTTTCGGGTTGGTCCTGTATGTTCATTTGTTGTGAATTTTCATTATATACCTCTGCAACATCTACATTGGATTCAAAATCTTGTGATAGGTTTTCAGTTTCATCGTCTTGTCGGAGGTTTCCTTCTCTTGATTTATTGACCATATAAGGCTGCAGAAATCCCATCTGTTTTTGAAATTTCCATTCTTTGATAGTTTCTGCAGCTGCTCCACTTTTGAAACATTTTTGTTGCCTTCGAATCGCATCTCTCAATGAATGTCGTAGTTTTTCCCACAACGCCTTTGCTTCAGATCCTACAACAATGAATTAATTACATCTTTATAAACTCTGGGAAAAGTTTAAAAATGAACAAACTTTTTAATTTTTTTAACACATTATTACTTTTCAGATACTTGGCAACAGGAAACAGCTACAGAAGTATGGCGTACAGCTACAGAATGGGTGATCGAACAGTTTCTAACATTGTGCGAGAGGTATTTGGAAGCTGATGCAACCAATATATTTGCCACAACCAACTGAAGAACAGTGGAAGTCAGTTGCAGATTCCTTTCAGAGAAAATGGCAATTCCCACATTGCATTGGAACCATTGACGGTAAACATGTGGTCATTAAAAAGCCCGGTAAAAGTGGATCCTCTTATATTAATTATAAACATACTTTTTCTATTGTGCTAATGGCTGTCGTCGACTCCGATTATAAATTCATCACCATTGATGTAGGATCACAAGGAAGATTTAGTGACGGAAATGTTTTCAGTACAGGCGTTTTGGCAAAGAAATTGCTGGATCATACTCTACATCTTCCGGCACCTACTGTGTACTGCCTCCACTTCTGAACCCAATGCCATATGTGTTTGTAGGAGATGAGGCCTTCCCATTATCTGAGAATTTAATGCGACCTTATCCCAAACGAAGTGTCACTGATAATTTTGAAAACAAGGTCTTTAATTACCGACTATCGCGAGCACGCCAAACGGTTGAATGCGCTTTTGGTATACTTGCCTCGCGTTTTCGAGTTTTCCGAACACCTTTTGAAATTAAAGTAGAAAGCGTGATTAATGTTGTTAAGACAGCATGTGTATTGCACAATTATTTAAGGAAATATTCAGTACGTCAAAGTGAAGAGGAAGACAACGAAGATATGCCGCAAGATCAGCTGCTCTCCTTGAAATCGAGCAATGCTCGAAGTACACAGAAAGCTTTTCAGATTCGAGAAAATTATACAAATTATTTCAACTCCGCAGGAGTGGTACCTTGGCAGAGGGAAAGTGTTGCTAGAGGGAAATATTGAGATATGTACACTTTATAATAAATAAACTTACCACTTTTCATTCCGATTTCTTTAGCGATTTCCTCCCACTTTTCAGTTTTTAGTTTTGTCCTCATATAGTCTGCATGACTGGTATCGTACAAAACTTGCCGAATCCGCACGGCTTCAATTAATTTTTCTTCCATTTTTCACCACTACTCACCGTAAATAACTACAAGAAACTGCGGGATCGACACTGCGTTCCGCAGGATCACGTTAGGCAAAGACTGCGTCACGTCACACTGCTGACCTGTATTCGCGGTGGAATTTGTTTATTAGGTTCACAAAATCTCACCGTGACTCACGCTGCGTCACCTCACCAAACTGCGAGTCATTTTGCGGCTAGCCAGAGGTGCCGCAAGGAAATTTGAAATTCCTTATGGAACACTAAATAATAAGTTTCATGGGAAACACATTTTAAAGCCTGGAGGCAAGCCGGTTTTCAATACAGACGAGGAACGGGCTTTCGTGAATGGAATTCTCAAATGCTCCGATTGGGGATTTCAACTAGGAGAACGGGACTTGAAGGTCTTTATTAAAAGCTATTTGGAATCGATTTGAACGAAACATGGTTGGATCGACTCGGAAACTTTCAGCGTTTGGTTTGAGTCAACAATTTTGCCTCATGCGCAACAATCTTGCCTCACATTTAAACGTAAATGTGATCAAGAAATGTGAAGAAAATGACATTTCGTTTGTGTGCCTGCCACCCAACAGTTACTCATTTATTGCAACCGTTGGACGTTGCCTTTTTTAGGCCTTTGAAAACAGCCTGGCGTAGCATTTTAACGCAATGGAAATTAGGTAACGCTCGCAACGGTACTGTACCCAAGGAACAGTTTCCTGCTTTGATAAAATTGGCGCTAGAGAAAATGGATTCAGTCCAGACAAAACATCAAAACCAAGCTCAGGAGAATGCCATAAGAAGAATTCTAATCAATGGATTTGAGGCCACTGGTGTTTTCCCTTTGAATGGAGAGCGAGTGTTAAAGAAACTTCCATGAGGAAATGATAATAATATACACGAAGTTGTAAACGATACATTAACGAACTTATTACGAAGTCAAAGAGAAGCTGGACAGTCCACCTTTAATAGTCGACAAAAGAGGAAAAAATTACGAGTGGATCCAGGAAAAAGTGTTTGCCGCGGAAACTTCCTCTGAAGAAGAACAATCATCTATCGAACTAATAGTGGGAGCGGCTCGTGATAAATATTGGTATTATTCGGCATTTCGTATTAAAATTGTGCCACTTGGAGCACATGTTCCCTAGACCTATTGGAGTGATTTGAGTCGCAGAGCCGGAAGTTCCGTCCCTTAGGATTGAAAATGGCGCCATTTTTTTAAATTTCAGGAAATATATGCTTTTAGAGCGATTTTTACGTTTGGGTTGACGTTTACGAGGTTTCCGACGGTGAATATTACAAAAATAATATCCAAAGCTAATTTCTGTGTGGGAAGCATGTTTCATTTATCATATATAAGGCCAATTGTATGATATCTTTAACGTCCGACAAGATTCAAAGGTTTTGACCGATTTTCGTAGTTGAGGTGGCGTTTCTGAGATTCTTTTGGGTGAAGATTACCAAAAAAGACCCATTAATAGTATATTATTCAACGAGTGAGAAAGTTGGCAATTATTCACGAAGATAAGATTTGCGCCACGAGTCGAAGACGAGTGGCGTAATTTATCTGAGTGAATAATGCCTTTCTTACGAGTTAAATACTATACTTTTTCTACTTGCATTCAATAATTACAGTAATAATAACATTATGCATAATGGTTTTATTATGTCATCAAACAACTGACAAAATTAGTGATGTACGTAAAATCCGGAGGAGTTAGACTTATATCGTCGTCACTACTCATCATGATTACCTACACTACTGTCCATTTTCACGTAATTTTCACAAAACTAATTTCTCGGAATTTGTTTGATTGACATTAATGTGACAACTGAATTTATCGCGATCCGAGATCTTGATTTTTGTTACAGACATGTTTCCAAGGCAACCCTACAATGTGACCTGAAAAGTAATGACAAACTCGAAATACGATTGGCTGACAACAGTTGAATAATGAAAACATATTGAATAATAGATAACTTTCTCAATTAAAACGCATCAGTATTCTACCTATTATTTAATATGAGTAGAAAAAAATTAGTTAAAATCATTAAAAATAAAACGCTGACAGTCATGTTTATAATAAGCATGTACATTGTACATATACTCGGCTGCGATTTTTACAGTGTTCTTGTCAGTTAGAACTAGGCATGGGAATTTTTTTCGATATATCGATAGGTATCGATAGTTATCGATATATCGAATAACAATAGGTACAGCTAAAAAAATCGATATATCGATATATCGATAACTATCGATATATCGATACTTATCGATAAGTATCGATATATCGATACCTATCGATATGTCGATAACTATTGATATATCGATATGTCGATAACTATCGATATATCGATATGTCGGTAACTATCGATATATTGATATGTCGATAACTATCGATATATCGATATGTCGATAACTATCGATATGTAGATAACTATCGATATATCGATATGTCGATAACTATCGATATATCGATATGTCGATAACTATTGATATATCGATATGTCGATAACTGTACGATAAAATTATGTTATTGTTGAGATTTCAACGAGCGCTACTATTTTTATTAATAAAATCCATTTTCGGGTTTACTCTCGTGTAAATTTACTATTTTTAGTCGCTCGACGGTTTCGGAAACTTAACTTTGCTCCCTTTCTCAAGAGAAGCGCTACGTCACATCATCATCCATGCCAAATAAACGCAGTAATAAAATCTTTAGAAAATAGATCTTTTCGTCTTACTGACGATTGCTCAAAAAAAGAAGCACTTCAAAAACCTGAACAAAATGTTGCATCAAAATGGCTACTCTTTAGGTAAAATAAAGAAGACAATCAAAGGGTGCAATCATGGTCTATGTATCGGTATCTGACTGATGGTTACAGAGGACCAGTCACAAAAAAACAGAGAAAGCTAAGAACACTTCAAATTTAGATATACAGTTTCAATTGATTGACATTTACGAAATCTAACAAAAAACTCTTGATAAAGGTAGCAAAGAAACGTCGAGTAACTATTAATAGTCACTTAGGTACACGAGAATAAACCGGAAAATGGATTTTATTAATAAAACTCGATAAGATAACTATCCCTGTCGATAACTATCGATACGTCGAATATTTCTCTCAAATGAGATGTGCAATTACCGCTTAATTACAGCGGTAATTGCATTGTAGAAAGCTAAAGAGCCCTGCGATAATTGCACAGTTAATATGGTAACTCCAATAAAGTTGCAAGAACTGCATTCGGTTATTTTCATATTTTGTTAAAAGAGCCCTCTTGTCTTGTCGGGCTCTTTCGCCAAAATATAAAAGTAAACTCATGCAGTTTTTAGACACGCTTTCAAAAAAATTATCGGTAATATTATATCGATACCTATATATTAAAAACTATCGCCATAACGAGAACTATCGATATACCGATACTTATCGATATAGCGGCAGTTATCGATCTTTCGATAGTTATCGGTGTATCGATAACCATCGATATTTCGATAATTATCGGCATATCGATAAGTAAAACATATCGATAGGTAAGTACCCGATACTTATATCGATAGGTGAAAACAGTTATCGCCCATCCCTAGCGATAACTATCGACATATCGATATTTCGATAACTATCGACATATCGATATATCGATACCTATCGATAGTAATCATATATCGATAACTATCGATAACTATCGACATATCGATAACTATCGATATTTCGATAATTATCGGCATATCGATAAGTAAAATATATCGATAGGTAAGTACCCGATACTTATCGATAGGTGAAAACAGTTATCGCCCATCCCTTATTAGCAGCTATTTTACTAACAGCGACTAAGTGTAACGGGAGCGAGTGGCGAGATGATTGGATTTGAATTTCAGAAAAAAAAACCAAAACGCCAACATAAAGATAGGTAACTCACAATTGGAACACAATAGCTGTATATTTGCACTCTGTGTTAGTAAAGGAGGTGTTGGGGTAAAAAGTGACCCCCACGTTTTGTAGCGAATCAAACAAAATCTGGATGATGTCCGTCTGTCGAGCATGTGCAAGTGTGTCAAATACTGATTTCCGGTTAAACGGTGGAACGGATTGGAACCAAATTTGGTACACATATTCTTAGACGTAAAAGGGCAGAATCGCACATTCGCAGGTGTGCGGGTGGTATCTGTGTTAACCACAACAATTTTTTTTATTTGCGTGAATTTTGGAAAACAGTTGTGATTGGTGGAGCAAGGCTAACAACTAGAAAATTTAGACATCTCCATTTTAAGTTAATTTGCTATGGTGGGTGTGAAAAATTTACTTGGTAATTAAAAGACGGGATCATTCAGGGTTGAAATAGTATATATAGATGTCCGAGATTAGTTGGGCAGTAGGGATTGTATGTATAGTTTTGAACAACAAATGCAGTTCGAGAAACTAAAGTTCCGCGTAAATTTTTTGCATCAAGTCGGCCGGAGAAGTGCGTTTTTTTATCTAATCTAAGGATTATTTATGTGCTACAATGAAATTTAAAATTCTTAAATTTAAAGTGCAAACCTAAATAAATAAATACAATTCATTTGAATACAAATATAAATGTGCTGATCAAAGACAGTCTTCATTACGCGATAAAGAAAAAACATGCGCCGCTTTGTGGCGAATTAACTAAATCATCGGGACATTTCATTAAATCGTAAATAAGAGTGCCAAATCACTACTAAAACTGTCAACATTTTGAACAATAAACGCAGTTCAATATGTAGCATTGCTAGAGACGGTAATGACGGTGCAATTGCTTACTGAGGATTTCATCCAATCTTATAGTTCATTGGACTGTGTACGCAAGAACAGAATGCAGAATTTCGAAGATGCGGTTTGATTTGTGCCGATCTCGCTTCGGCTCGTTATGCATTGGTAAAAACTGTGTTTGGCCGATACAGTTTTAACTCTCGGGAACTTAGTACGAGTGGTTGA